GTAGTAGGTAGTAGTAGGTAGTAGTAGGTAGTAGTAGGTAGTAGTAGTAGAGCAGCAGCAGCAGCAGCAGCAGCAGTAGTAGTAGTAATGGCCTCCACCCTAGTAGCGATGGCCTCCTTTTTCCTTTCGCAAATACTGAGTCAACCAGGGTTAGGAAGACTGGAGGAACATTGTGCTGGAGCCCTAGGGTTAGGAAAAAGACATTGTGCTGACATGAACGGATCACTAGCGATGGCCTCCACCTAGTAGCGTCCTTGCTACTAGTAGTGTAGGTGGATTCGAAGGAAGTTTCTGGAGGCCCTTTTTGGATCTCCAGATCCAAGGTCTGGATCCGGAAAAAACAGAGAAGGATGTTGTGTTGCATTGGTTCCAAATAAGCTCCCCCAACATCTCCAATTCAACACCCGTTCAAAGAGAACAAGAAACTCTGCACAGGCGTAGGAGATGTAATGTAATCAATCTCGTGCACTTGGGAGGTTCATCGATCACGAGTAGACTTTGGGGCTTGTGAAGTGGTTCTTTGCGCTTAGACTTAAGATTTAAGACACTGCTCACACATGCTCACACTTTCCTGGCCAGCCAACCCCTTAAACTCAGCTTTTCCAAAGTTGCAAACAAAGAAGGGACGCCAACTTCCCGGAGTTGCCAGCAAGCTTCCCCAACATCCGGGACAAGAACACTGTCTGCCCCCCCCAAGAACAGGCTCACCAAAAGCTACCCCGTATGGGACCCCTGCCACTTCGAGAGCACTGCTGCCACGTCTGCGGCTGTGACCACGGGCTTTGGCCTTGCGTGACGTGTGCGGCGCACGACAAGGCGCCCTCAGCACTGTGACTCCAGTAGCTTGAGGAGCTGGTGAGGAATGGTCACCAATCGGCCATCCTGTCTGAGATCTTTGCCAAAACAGAAGTCCTGCAGCCGGTTGTAGAGGAAAAGGGGTAGACATTCCCTGGTTTGGCCTCATAAGTTGCTTGTGAGGATAAAAAGAGTCAACATTGGGACTCACAAGGTCTTTATTTGAGTGAACTCAGTGTTCTAAGTAGTTTCACCGGCACTAGGAATAGTGAAGTGAATTCCAAGAAATGCATTTCGTACAGAGATCATTTCTGAGTCCAGAACTGCTCTCCAGGTGACTCCTCCTCATTTGCCTTGGGAGCAAGTAGACGGGAGTGAAAAGAAACCGATGTTGATTTGTTCAGTCGACGAAAAGGGATAAGGGATCTGCTTCAGCATAACAACACGTGGGCGTCAAGCAAAACAAGAAACTTCTTGCGTCCGTCCCAACCAGGGATGTTAGTCAGATCTTGATGTTTGGTGGAAGAGAAGGAAGAGAAGGAGCGGAGCATTATTTACAACTAATCAGAACAGTGGCCAAAAAATCAGAACACGTAAAACTAAGACTTGCTGTTCGTGTCATGCCAAATCTGATTCGATTGCCAGCTCCAGGTGGCTGGTGCGCGGTGCGCGTTAGAGAGTGAGATAATATGGCTGTGGGTCATGGCATCAGGGCCCACCTGACAGGTTTGCCCACCGAACATGAACAAACGACCCAGACAGGGCGAGCTCGTTCCGGGCTCCAGGTTTTACAGCCAAATAGGATCCAACTTAGGATGGATCACTATAGGATGGATTCCTGGATAGTTAGCTCCAGGTGCTAAGGTCTTAGATGGTGAGATATGGTGAGTTCCAGACTCGCTATATATATTTACACCAACACTTGGGCCTGAAGGAGTCGGAAGTCGAGTGATTGCGTCGGTCAATCCGCTTGCTCGGCTTGGACTATGTGGACGAAAAATGTCCTGTCTGGTGCAGTGAAGAAGCATCAAATGTATCGGTAGGTGGGTCAGGGGCCCTGGGTTGTGGAGTTTCAAAAGATCATCGCCAAGCAAGTAGATGCTTGGACAGGTTGCATATGAACGAGCTCAAATATGCACATGACCTGCTTCAAAGTGGAGCACGCCCATGGAACTAAAGACTCTAGTCACTGGTCTATTAGTCCGAATTTACGACTGGGCGCTTGGGTATTCCGCCAGCAATCTTCCGCTTTCCACACTCCAGCAGCCCCAGCCTGCTCTAACTGAAGCTCCATGCGCCATTGCGCCTCATTCAGCTGGACTGTGAGTGCCAACGTCGACCCCTTCCGCTTCGGATCGTGGGTCAGTCTGGAGTCTCCAGCTTGGTGCATGTCTCACCCCAAAAAGAAACGGACACATACCAGCACCCGACTCTACAGGTCTCCGAAAGGGAGAAGAACCTTGTAGACTTGTTGGGGCGTCGTCAGTGGTGACCTGTTGGAGGGTCCGGACGTCCGGACGTCAGCAACGGGATCGGCCCGATCGGCCTGGAGGACAGCGTGGTTATAGGTTATAGAACGTGATAGTTTATATATACTCTCTTGGCTGTTTTAGCCCCCAGTGGAATAGCCAGTCATTTTAACTTTCTGTATTTGCCTATTGGGGAGGCCGATTCTTTTTTTGAAAAATGATTCCCCAGTTTCAGGGGATTCACTCAGTTCAGGAACATCCAAAAAAAAGGAGCGAACAGCACAAAACCACCCGGAGTCGATGTGAGCAATTCCACAATTGCAAAGCGATCTAACACAGGTGCTTAGCTACTACCGTAAGAACCCCTAAGCCCCTAAGTGTGTCCACACTGTTTGGGGAAAAAAAACACCTCTCCGATGGTCGGATCTGCATCTGCCCAAGGGCTCAAGACTCGCTCTGCCTCGGTTGCCTCTGAGTCGCTCCAGTCGCGACACGGCCGTCGGCTCGACTGGGCTCCGACTCCCGTCGCTTCAGTAGGGAGCTTTAATGGAACATGACCCTGATAAAAGGTAGACTTGTACCATTTTGAAGGTCTACAGAACATAAACAAAAAAACATTTAAAAAAAGGATCCACATGTATATGTTGTTCTTTGCTTGTTGATAGTTACCTGATGGTTTCTGTATACTGAAGACTCGCTCCTATGCCATCTGACCAACGTCCGTCCGCTGAGTCCGCTGTCTGACTTACGCCAGGTGGCGAGGCTGCTGGCTTCATCAATGAGATCCACCGCCTGCGGCGAAGCCAGCACGGTTAGACACAAAAAGAGGCACAAAAAAAGGCGTTATATGCTTAAACAAAAAAACACACACATGGTTTTCCATGTGTTGTTTTCCGCATCCAAGGGTTGGACCACACATCCAAGGGTCCTACTGACCTCCTTGTCATGATAATCAGTATATGTAAAGCAGTTATGAATGTATACTGTCCTGCGATTGGAAAATAGATTCTAGCTCGCTCGCGCCCACAAAATTGCTGGCTTTGATGGCACCTGTTGGGACAGAGATCCAGTATGATCCGCTCACAACATCCACATGTGCTGTGTATTAAGTCCAAGGACACGCTCACTTGAAAACTAGCTATAGGGTTCAGATTCGGGTGGAGGAGTTCCTTCCATCGACCTTTCTGTTGCAGGAAGAACTCCTCCCCCACCTAGACAACCACCCCGCAATAGCGAGGTATCCTCTACGCCAGGATTTACTTTCATCAGCCCACCAACCACCATCTAATTGCGGAGTGTGCTAGATGCTGAACCCACCCGTGGTACCGAGCATGAATGGACATGAAAACAAACTCAACCACTCCATGTATAGGCCATACTTGCCTACATCGGAATGATTGGCTTAAAGGGTCAATGTATAGGCCGGCATATATATACCAGTCCCATTTGTTTGGGAACTGAAGGGCATCGCTCCCTTCTTCCACATCAGGCGGCTTAGCCTGCACGGTGATCCATCGCCATTCGCCATCCGACACGTGTGTGTCACTCGGTGCGACCCGTGTCACTCGGTGTTCACTCGGTGTCACTCGCACATCCACCCCGAGCGTCCACCCGTCACGCCACACCCGTCACGTGAACGGCGCCTTATCGGGCAAGAAACGATTGGTGAGATAGCCTCGTCGTCCGGTGAGCTGGACCGGTCACGGTCGACGGACCGGATGAGTTGGGGACTGGGAGCCCAAGCTGGGGAGTTGGCCTCTGATCCATTCAAGTCTTCCGGTCCTAAAATCAGTCTCATTATCAACAATGCTATTAAAAACTAAACATATACACTTTTCCCCGGGTGCATGGCACAGGGACCGAGGGGTAGATGGCACATCTGGAAGGCTGCGCAGGCTACCCAGTAGATGGCGCAAGCACCACTTTGATACACCATAAACCAAATGTGCCAAGTACGGGCGCCATCTACTATAGACATGGCCTCACGTTCCACATCCCAATCTTCAAACTCTTTTTCCCCCTTTATTCCATAAATCGGTCGGGGTCTGGATTTTGTCATCCAGTCTTGAGATGCAGGCCGTTGGTGCCACCCTTACACAAACAAACAGTTGAAAAAGACAGAACAGCAAAACTTCTGCATTAGAGCACTCCTGAAGAACCCATCTCAAGTCACAAGTGCAACCATGACAAAACAAAGCATTGCAAGTACAAAAGAATCAACCATTGCGCCATCTAATGTCGACCTCTGATTAATACTCGAATTTCAAGTAAGATGGCGCAGAGATGATGTCATTTGGGGGGGGTTGCGCCATCTATTCGGCCAGCCTGGAAGTTGAACATAGGGCTATAACCCGGCCGTCGCATCCCAAAAAACTGGCCCAAAATACCATAGTAGATAGCAGTGTAGATGGCGCAGGAGGGAAATTGAGGTTTATAAAACGGGCCTTTAGCCAGGCCTCAGCAGATGGCGCAGGATGTTTTCTTAAAAGTCGAGGTTTTGGTGTTTTGGAGGTATTGGGAGAATGGGATCTGGGGAGTGGCTATCTGCTATGTACTTCTATCATCTTCAACCTTTAGTTTGGCCACACAATACTGCCACACAATACAGGGCAACAGTTCAGGACCAAGCTTTTTTTGGTTAGAATGGCGCGAGGGAGGTCACAAGAACTGATTCTGGAAACGGGGCTCTCTTCTCTCTTGCAGCTCACCGCCTCCAAAAATATGCACAACCCTGAGAAAAAGAACTGTATGCCAGGCAGTATGGTGGATTTGAAAAACAGTTTTGTAGATGGCACAGGATGGCTCAAGACGAAGAGGACTACATGTTCCCGTCGGATCCCCTCTCAGTCTCATCTGTTTTCTCCCTTTATCAATCTTTCTTCCTTCCCTGCTCGAGGAAAGAGCTACATGTGCTATCCTTCCACAAGACCTTGCCTTTTCTGCTGCCCATGCCCTGGCTGATCATCAGGCTGCGCCATCTACTCTGCACTTGTCAGTCCTGCCCAATCCCCTCCCCCTTTTCCCTATACCTGCTCTCCCGGCTCTCCCCTCTCATCCTTTCCTTTTCCCCCACCTCTGACCTCCCTCCCTCCCTTCCCTGCTCGAAGGAAAGAACTACATGCGCTATATATCCTTCCCCAAGTCCTTGCCTTTTCTGCTGCCAATGCCCTGGCTGGTCATCAGGCTGCGCCATCTACTCTGCACTTGTCAGTCCTGCCCCCCTCCCCTTTTCTCTATACCTGCTTTGCTTTCCACAAGCGCTCTCGCCTCTCCTGCTTTCCTTCCCCCACCTCTGACCTCCCTCTCTCCCTTCCCTGCTCGAGGAAAGAGCTACATGCGCTATCCTTCCACAAATCCTAGCCTTTTCTGCTCCCCATGCCCTACCTGGTCATCAAGCTGCGCCATCTACTCTGCAGCTGTCAGTCCTGCCCAATCCCCTCCCACCATTTCCCTATACCTGCTCTCCCGGCTCTCCCCTCTCCTTCTTTCCCTCCCCCACATCTGACCTCCCTTTCTCCCTTCCCTGCTCAAGGAATGAACTACGTGTGCTATCCTTCCACAAGTCCTTGTCCTTTCTGCTGCCCATGATCATCAGCCAGCGCCATCTACTCTGCACTTGTCAGTCCTGCCCCCGGCCCCCGTCCCCCTTTTCTCTATACTTGCTCTCCCCTCTCCTGTTTTCCTTCCCCCTACCTCTGACCTCCACTTTGTGCAACCTACTGTACACACACCCTTTCTCCCTTCCCTGCTTTCCACAAGCCCTTCTTTTCTGCTGTCCATGCCCTGGCTGATCATCAGGCTGCGCCATCTATTTTGAGCTGTTAGTCCCGCCCAATCCCCTCCCGTCGTTTCCCTATACCGGGTCTCCTGCTCTCCTCTCTTCTCCTTTCCCTCCCCCACCTCTGACCTCCCTCCCTTCCTTGCTCGAGGAAAGAGCTACACGCGCTATCCTTGCCTTTTCTGCTGCCCATGCACTGGCTGGTCATCAGGCTGCGCCATCTACTCTGCAGCAGTCCTGCCCAATCCCCTCCCACCGTTTCCCTATACCTGGTCTCCTGCTCTCCTCTCCCCCTTTCCCTCCCCCACCTCTGACCTCTCTCTCTCTCCCTTCCCTGCTCGAGGACAGAACTACGTGCTATCCTTCCCCAAGTCCTTGCCTTTTTTGCTGCCCATGCCCTGGCTGGTCATCAGGCTGCGCCATCTACTCTGCAGCTGTCAGTCCTGCCCAATCCCCTCCGGCCTTTTCCCTATACCTGCTCTCCCGGCTCTCCCCTCTCCTTCTTTCCCTCCCCTACCTCTGACCTCCCTCTCTCCCTTCCCTGCTCGAGGAAAGAACTACATGTGCTATCCTTCCACAAGCCCTTTGGAGGCTTCCATAAGCAGATTTTGAAGGCTTGAAAATTCTTTATGTGGACCTTTACTAAAAAAGCTTCATTTGTAACACTTTTTGCCCAAATCAGGGGGGAGCCCTCTGGAGGCTTCCAAAAGCAGATTTTGAAGAATTGAAAATTCTTTATGTGGACCTTTACTAAACAAGCTTCAATTGTAACACTTTTTGCCCAAGTCAAGGGGGGAGCCTTTGGAGGCTTCCAAAAGCAGATTTTGAAGAATTGAAAATTCTTTATGTGGACCTTTACTAAAAAAGCTTCATTTGTAACACTTTTTGTCCAAATCAACGGGTGCCTTTTGGAGGCTTCCAAAAGCAGATTTTGAAGCCTTGAAAATTCTTTATGTTGGCCTTTACTAAAAAAGCTTCATTTGTAACACTTTTTGCCCAAATCAAGGGGGATGCCTTTTGGAGGCTTCCAAAAGCAGATTTTTAAGTTTTGAAAATCCTTTATGTGGACCTTTACTAAAAAAGCTTCATTTGTAATATGTTTGTACAAATCAAGGGGGGGTGCTCTTTGGAGGGTTCCAAAAGCTCAATTGGAATCATTGAAAAATTCTTTATGTGGACTACAAAAAAAGACGTCATTTGTTATTTTTTGTTCAAAAAAGTCCTTTGGAGGCTTCCAAAAATAGCTTTTAGGAGTTTTTACATGTCAACTCAAAAGCGATGGGGTTGGGGGGGGGCGGCAGCCCCCCCCAGAAGCAAACCAACCACTTGAAGAATTACACAAAGGGCGTTAAAGAAAGTACAACAAGAGGGAAAGAAGACAAGGAAGGAAAACAAAACAAACCACTGACATTTGAGCATAATTGGTCGCGCTCATAGAACAATGGAAACAAATTGTCAAAATCAAAAGCGGGGGGGTTGAGGGGGCGGCAGCCCCCCCCCGGAAGCAAACCAACCACCTGAAGAAGAAGCCTTCCTCGCGCAAAGGGCGTCAAAGAAAGAGCAACAAGAAGAAAGAACACAAGGAAAGATAACAAAACAACCTGCTGATAATTGAACATAAATGGTTGTGCCCATAAAACAATGGGAGCGGGGTGGTGGGAAATTAAAGCAAAAAGTAAAGCAAACTTACAAATAGTGAGCCATAGCCGGATAGCCGTGGACCCTAAACCCCAAAGTTTATATCGCGCTATATATCCTCCCCAGTCCTTGCCTTTTCTGCTGCCCATGCCCTGGCTGGTCATCAGGCTGCGCCATCTACTCTGCAGCTGTCAGTCCTGCCCAATCCCCTCCCGCCGTTTCCCTATACCTGCTCTCCCGGCTCTCCCTGACCTTTTTTGTCCCTTCCTATGCTCGAGGAAAGAACTACACCTTGCCTTTTCTGCTGCCCATGCCCTGGCTGATCATCAGGCTGCGC